CATCTTTCAGTAATATACGGTTGGCTTGTATGTTTAATTATCGTGAGCCAACAGCTGAGGCTGTATGTGTATGTAAGTGTGTATGTATGTATGTGTATGCCTGTGTGTGTGTGAGCATCTGTGTGTATGTGTGTACACGTGTGTTTGACGAGTGTGTCTATGTGTGTGAGCGGCTGTCTGTGTGTGTGTACACGTGTGTTTGACGAGTGTGTCTATGTGTGTGAGCGGCTGTGTGTGTGTGTGTGAGCAGCTGTGTGTATGTGTGTACACGTGTGTTTGACGAGTGTGTCTATGTGTGTGAGCGGCTGTGTGTGTGTGTGTGAGCAGCTGTGTGTATGTGTGTACACGTGTGTTTGACGAGTGTGTCTATGTGTGTGAGCGGCTGTGTGTGTGTGTGAGCAGCTGTGTGTATGTGTGTACACGTGTGTCTGACGTCCCTGAAGACAATTGTAAACAGTGTGAGCTTTAGCGTGTAACAGATGGTCGTGTTTTGTTGGGGGGGGGTGTCAGGGCTGGGGTGGGGTAGTATCAGGGCGGGGGTGGGGTTAGTATCACGGCTGGGGTGGGGGTAGTATCACGGCTGGGGTGGGGGTAGTATCACGGCTGGGGTGGGGTAGTATCACGGCTGGGGTGGGGGTAGTATCAGGGCTGGGGTGGGGGTAGTATCACGGCTGGGGTGGGGTAGTATCAGGGCGGGGGTGGGGGTAGTATCAGGGCTGTTGTTGGGGTAGTATCACGGCGGGGGTGGGGGTAGTATCACGGCGGGGGTGGGGGTAGTATCAGGGCTGGGGTGGGGTAGTATCAGAGCTGGGGTGGGGGTAGTATCACGGCTGGGGTGGGTGGTATCAGGGCTGGGGTGGGGGTAGTATCACGGCTGGGGTGGGGTGGGGTAGTGTCAGGGCTGGGGTGGGGGTAGTATCACGGCTGTTTGCTACATCTATATTAGGCAAACAGCTGTATGAGGGGGGGGGGTGTTACTGTCTATAGAGCCAAACAACAAACAGAAAGTTGGCTTAAGCTATATAGCTTCAACAGCCATCAAACAGCTGGTGTACCCCAAATGCAAGATTAAACAGCTATTACGTAAAAACTATTAATTAACAGCAGGGTGGGGCTGTTCTATATGCACGTGACAAGCAACAGATTAGCAGAGAACAGTTCCCGTGAGGCCAGTGAAGTCTAGTGCCTGAATATCTTGTACTACAAGAGAGAGCATTTCTACACGTGTTATTTGAATCATTGGCTGACCTTCACCGTGAAATAAGCAATTTGGGATATAACCCCCCCCCCAGTGATATAGCATCTAATTCCCACTATCCTTCTCCCCCACCCCCCCCCCCCCCCGATGCCAACCACACCTCTCCACTGCTTGTTTATAGATTGTACGTGTATGAGTTATGTCCCCTGGAGCAAATGTCCTTTTTGGCACCAAGCCAGTGCTAGCACGCCCATCTGGGTCAGTTATCTGACATGGCCGTCCATCTGGGTCAGTTACCTGACATGGCCGTCCATCTGGGTCAGTTATCTGACATGGCCGTCTATTGGTCAGTTAGACATGGCCGTCCATCTGGGTCAGTTATCTGACATGGCCGTCCATCTGGGTCAGTTAGACATGGCCGTCCATCTGGGTCAGTTATCTGACATGGCCCTCCATCTGGGTCAGTTATCTGAACTGGCCGTCCATGGGTCAGTTATCAAACATGGCCGTCCATCTGGGTCAGTTACTGACATGGCCGTCCATCTGGGTCAGTTATCTGACATGGCCGTCCATCTGGGTCAGTTATCTGACATGGCCGTCCATCTGGGTCAGTTACCGACATGGCCGTCCATCTGGGTCAGTTATCTGACATGGCCGTCCATCTGGGTCAGTTATCTGACATGGCCGTCCATCTGGGTCAGTTACTGACATGGCCGTCCATCTGGGTCAGTTATCTGACATGGCCGTCCATCTGGGTCAGTTACTGACATGGCCGTCCATCTGGGTCAGTTATCTGACATGGCCGTCCATCTGGGTCAGTTATCTGACATGGCCGTCCATCTGGGTCAGTTACCGACATGGCCGTCCATCTGGGTCAGTTATCTGACATGGCCGTCCATCTGGGTCAGTTATCTGACATGGCCGTCCATCTGGGTCAGTTATCTGACATGGCCGTCCATCTGGGTCAGTTATCTGACATGGCCGTCCATCTGGGTCAGTTATCTGACATGGCCGTCCATCTGGGTCAGTTACTGACATGGCCGTCCATCTGGGTCAGTTATCTGACATGGCCGTCCATCTGGGTCAGTTACTGACATGGCCGTCCATCTGGGTCAGTTACCGACATGGCCGTCCATCTGGGTCAGTTATCTGACATGGCCGTCCATCTGGGTCAGTTAGACATGGCCGTCCATCTGGGTCAGTTATCTGACATGGCCCTCCATCTGGGTCAGTTATCTGAACTGGCCGTCCATGGGTCAGTTATCAAACATGGCCGTCCATCTGGGTCAGTTACTGACATGGCCGTCCATCTGGGTCAGTTATCTGACATGGCCGTCCATCTGGGTCAGTTAGACATGGCCGTCCATCTGGGTCAGTTATCTGACATGGCCCTCCATCTGGGTCAGTTATCTGAACTGGCCGTCCATGGGTCAGTTATCAAACATGGCCGTCCATCTGGGTCAGTTACTGACATGGCCCTCCATCTGGGTCAGTTATCTGAACTGGCCGTCCATCTGGGTCAGTTATCTGACATGGCCGTCCATCTGGGTCAGTTACTGACATGGCCGTCCATCTGGGTCAGTTAGACATGGCCGTCCATCTGGGTCAGTTACTGACATGGCCGTCCATCTGGGTCAGTTATCTGACATGGCCGTCCATCTGGGTCAGTTACCGACATGGCCGTCCATCTGGGTCAGTTAGACATGGCCGTCCATCTGGGTCAGTTAGACATGGCCGTCCATCTGGGTCAGTTAGACATGGCCGTCCATCTGGGTCAGTTATCTGACATGGCCCTCCATCTGGGTCAGTTATCTGAACTGGCCGTCCATGGGTCAGTTATCTGACATGGCCGTCCATCTGGGTCAGTTACCGACATGGCCGTCCATCTGGGTCAGTTATCTGACATGGCCGTCCATCTGGGTCAGTTATCTGACATGGCCGTCCATCTGGGTCAGTTACTGACATGGCCGTCCATCTGGGTCAGTTACTGACATGGCCGTCCATCTGGGTCAGTTATCTGACATGGCCGTCCATCAGGGTCAGTTAGACATGGCCGTCCATCTGGGTCAGTTAGGCATGGCCGTCCATCTGGGTCAATTAGACATGGCCGTCCATCTGGGTCACCTATCTGCTCCATCCGCTTATCAAGCTGTATGTTAGAGAATATTTGACCACAGCAGTGTCTAATTGGTAGTGTGTTTGTATGTGTGGGTGTGTGTGTGTGCGTGATTGTGTGTGTGTGTGTGTGTGGCTTGTTGTATATGTGGATCATATAACGATCGATTTTATCATAACGTGTATTATTTTTGAATTGTCAAAGTGATCTAGATCCACAGATGGATTCATTTCACTTTTTGTGAAAGGAATACTGTTGAGTTATGCCCTTGTCCTCTTGTGAAGGGAATACTTTTGAGTTATGCCCTTGTCCTCTTGTGAAGGGAATACTGTTGAGTTATGCCCTTGTCCTCTTGTGAGGGAATACTTTTGAGTTATGCCCTTGTCCTCTTGTGAAGGGAATACTTTTGAGTTATGCCCTTGTCCTCTTGTGAAGGGAATACTGTTGAGTTATGCCCTTGCCCACTTGGGAAGGAAACACTGTTGAGTTAGGGGCATGACGATTGTATAAAGAAAATATTGTAGAGAGAGTTAGTGCCCTTGTTTCGAAGAATACAGGAAAGGTTACGATGGAGAGTTGGGGCGTGTGGGGGTGGGGCCGGATTGTAAGGGGAGCCGACAGAATGACTGAACGTGTCTAATGAAGAGAACATTTAACTAGAAGATTCCATCAGCTTAATGAAGATAAAACCCGACGGTTGAATAATTCAATCATTGATTAAAATGAGATTCTGTTGTGAGGTTGTCATTGTATTTTTTAGCCAAAGCTCGCGAAATGTTGTTAGTGACGTCAGAGGTGTAACATGGCCACATCGAGTGCTAGAGGCCATCATCTAGTCGCTCGGGCCATCATCTAGTCGCTCGGGCCATCAGCTAATCGCTTGGGCCATCGTTACTCCGCTTCCATCTAATTTTACCAAAGCAGCATTAGACACATTATGTGTAAAGTTTTCTTATGGAATAGATCATGGGTTTGTAGTAATTGGACCTCATGGGAGAGTTTGTTAGTAACTTTTTAACTCTACCGTGTTTAGCCCGTACGTTTTTCTGTCAAGTTAGCGTGTGTACTTGACGCTAGTAGGTTTTATTGTCAAGTTCGCGTGTGTACTTGACGCTGGTAGGTTTTATTGTCAAGTTCGAATGTGTACTTGACGCTGGTAGGTTTTATTGTCAAGTTCGAATGTGTACTTGACGCTGGGAAACTATCAGGACAATCCATCTGCAGGGGCCATGTTTGCCCCTTACTGTACTCTTGTCTTTAATTAAGTCGATCAAGATAACTTATCTCCCCTGCGTGTTGGCTCCGATTACGAAAAAAAAAAGATGGACGCCTGGATCATAAACTCGAATCGAAGTTTTAACTGGTCATATTGTATGTGGCGAGGTTTGTTGCTTTATTGGCCCGCTTCTGCTGGCGAACTGGGCCGTCTGCTCCACAAATGGTGTTTTCACATACAGGCTTTTGTCGTGGTTAATTTATGACGGTCAAATCGAGGCTTAGTTCGTATGGGGAAAAAAACGCAAGGGGCAGCACTCGTTTTGGCTTTTCTTATCACCCATTGGTAGTTGTAACGTAGGGAGTGATGTGCCCGCATCTAGGAGTAGCGACATGACCAGCCTTCACGTGTACGTAATGAGTTTGTTCTAGATCCAGATCCAGATCTAGATATCCAGTTCTTGTTGGTGTTTTCATTCCAGTAAACCTTCCATCTCCATTGGATTTACAATGTTATTCTGACTTATTTTTAACCATCTCTATTGATTCTAAATATATGTGTGATTTCAAAGTAATGTGTGTAATCCTTGAAACATTCCGTAATATTGCTTTGATCTATTATTGTTTAATGTATTATTCTTTTGATCTATTTTTTTTATTTACACATATGTCGCTCTTACTTTATGTGATTTTCTGTACATCAAATACGCTCCAACATTCGAGCTAGCTTTATGGTGTATATTTAATACTTTTCATCAACAACTTTATTTTAACATTTTCACAAAATCGTGTACACATAATTTTCGTTATTCGTCGTTAAAGTTTGATCAATGTTAAGATATCATGTGTCATTAAATGTTTTCCTGGCCCTCCTAACGGAAATGTTTCTTCTCCTCAGATTTGTCTAGTGTGACCGAAGACTTAACGAACCACTGAAAGAAACTAAAGTACAACTCCCTAGGATCGATATTTCGGTATCGGATTGGTCCGGCCTAACTAAATAAAAGGAAAAAAAAATACAACGTTATAACCGTTCGGAATCGATTCAAAAATTCTTTGACGTCAGAGGGCGCTACAGTTGTGTAAGGACAAACGCACGTGCTGTATTTTGCTCACCTTTCAGTGAATACCTTGTTTCTTCTGGCTACGTGTATCGCTGCAGACATTCTCAAAGGTCAACTGTTCTCTGCCCCCGTGTGAGTACACATTCGCTCACCCTCCGTTGATAGTTTGGTCTACAACAAGGTACTCACCATGCACGTGGAGATTTCGGTAGCGCTCAACTTCGTCATCTCCTACCTGTACAACAAGCTGCCCCGGCGGCGGGTCGACCTGTTCGGGGAGGAGCTGGAGATTGGCCTGAAGGAGAAGTTCCAGGGCCACTGGTACCCGGACCGGCCGTCCAAGGGCTCCGGGTACCGCTGTGTCAAGGGCAACGGGGACGAGGTGGACCCCGTCCTGGTGGCCGCCGCCCTCAAGGCCGGCCTTGACATTGTCGAGGTCAAGAGCTACCTGCCAGAGGATCTCACTCTGTGGATTGACCCCTCAGAGGTCAGCTACAAGATCGGCGAGAAGGGCATGGTCAAGGTTTTGTACTCGGATAAAAAAGACGATGACGGAAACGACAATGTGGACAAAGAGGTCCAGGCCGCTAGCCGGACCTTCAACCCAGAGGCTCAAACCTTCAACCCTGAGGCTCAAACCTTCACCCCAGAGTCCCAGGTCTTCACCCCTGACGTGCTGGCCTTCACGCCTGACGTCACAGCGTTCTGCTCCGACTCGACCCAGTCGTTCCAGCCCATTGACTCCCTCTCATCCTCGCTGTCCAACCTCAGCCTCTCCCCCTCCTCCCCGGTACCCCCGGGCTCCTGGAGCACCGCCACCTCACCATCATCCAACCTCTTCAACTCGGCGCTCAACACCGCGATGGTCCCCCCGGGGCTGCTCGGGCCCCGCCCCAACAGCTCCCACCGTCAGCAGTTCACGGCCGCCATGTTCGCCCAAACCAAGTTCGGCTCCACCAAGCTGAAGACCCAGGTCAAGCGACCCAACCGACTTTCGCCAACCGAGTTCGGCAACTACTTTCGACAACAGCAGAGGAGCTACGCCGGTCCCCAGCGCCCGAGGTCACTGTCCCCACGTGACCCGCGGGTCGAGTTCCTAATGGACCAGCAGCAGCGCATGATGATGCAGCAGCAGCAGATGTCGCCGTCGCATCCCTTCGGTCCTCAGTTCCAGCACCAGCTGTCTCCCACGGGGGTCTACCCGGAGTTTCTTCGTCAGCATTCGTCAGGTATTTCCTCGCCACACTCTTCCCCACACCTCTCCCCCCACATGTCCCCACACATGTCCCCACAAGGCAACGGTCCAGCTTTCCAAGACCTCATCCAGTCCAGCCCCAGTATCGCCAGCCACCCCTCCCCTCCCGTCAACCCCATCTCCCGCCCCAACACTCTCTCCCACACTGGACGTCTGTCTGGCTTCCCCAGCCTCAACAACTCAATGGCCAGCTCAGCGTCGCATCAAGGCTCACAGATGGCCATGTTCTCGCCTGATGGCCACAAATCTTTCGTCGATGGCCTCAACGTGGCCCCTGTCAACTACCCCAACAGCCTGCAACATCTCCTGATGGCCAACTAAAACCCCAACCCAAACTGCTTCTCTCTGATGGCCAACTAAAACCCCAACCCAAACTGCTTGTCTCTGACTGCGTTAGAATTAACAATTGCTTCAGTATAAGGACTTCGGAGACCAAACCACCAAAACAAACGTCATACCGAGGTGCTCAGATCTCCTGCCGTGACGTCATGCTCAAGTCTCGTGCAAGTCGTAACCAAAATATTACGTCACCCCATTAACCCTCCCAAGCCCAATTATTATTTCATTTATTTTTTTATTGTTAACCTGTAAGTACTTTTATATAAATGATATTTCCATATATACATATATTTATTTATTTTGGATTCAATTCCTTTTTTCCATCAAGATTCGCGAAACTTTCGTACCTACATCATCATGTATTCCTTAGAACTACGTCATCATGTTTTCCTTAGAACTACGTCATCATGTATTCCTTAGAACTACGTCATCAAACCGCTTGGTATTGGAAGCTCACTGGCTCTTCGTTTATCCTTTCTTTAGACCTAAGTCTGTAACCTTGACCTTTTCAGTTGTTTTCTTGTCAGCGCTGGTTGCGAGTCCAATTCTGGCGGATGTACGAGAGACGTGCCCAGCAACTCAACTCCCGGACCTTTTGTTGTGTCCGGCTTGCAATGGTTTCTGTGCCATTCATCTTAGGAACTGTTTCTCTGCCTTTGTTAGTAGGTGGCGTCTGTGTTGTAGTGTGTGACGTCAGTGTTGTGATGGGTGACGTCAGTGTTGTAGTGTGTGACGTCAGTGTTGTGCTGGGTGACGTCAGTGTTGTGATAGGTGACGTCAGTGTTGTGCTGTGTGACGTCAATATTGTGATTGATGACGTCAGTGTTGTGTTAGGCCTATAGTGACGTCTCTGTTGTGATGGTCTTATGGACAGCTGTCGACTGAAGCTGTTTAGTTGTTTGAAAACTTTTTCTTTATTTTTTAATTGCCCTTGTTGGCTACTGTCTCGCATCAACCTTCTCCCGTGTGTGGGTGAGAGTTATCCGCCCCTGACTGACTTTTCTCTTGTAGGTTCATTCCCTAGTCTAGCTATGTAACAAATGCCGCGCTAAATTGTCGACATCAATTTTAGAGTTTTGATATGACTTAAACATGTTAAATGCTAGCCAAAAAAAAAAGGTATTGGCTTCTATTTTGACATCTATATTGTTTGTATATCAAGCCACCTCATCTGGCATCAACCTGTAGAATATCCTGGCATATGAGAAAATGGTTGCAGAAGTCAAATTCTCAGTACCAGCGGGCATGTACATTTAACTGCTAATTTATGAAATACCAAATGTGTCATTTATTTATATTTCGCAAATCCTGTTCAATTTTTTAATACAACCATTTTTTATACAGCCCACATCTGCTAGATCTACCGAGCTCAGCATTGTGGTGTCACTGTCATACACCAACTGTTGGTGTCACTGTCATACACCAACTGTTGACGGTGTCTACTTTGTCATTCTACAACCATCAATGTTTATAAGCTGATGTTCATATTCCTTTTTAAATGGCGGTAACACATTATGTACTGAGAATATATATATATATATATATATATATATATATATATATATATATATATATATATATATATATATATATATATATCAGAGAATGACTTTATTCAATAGGATGTGTACGCAATGTGTATGGTTACTGAGTTCTATTTTGATTATAAATATTTATTCCTTTATGTTGAAGTCCAAGTGTATTTTAAATCCTAATGTCTTTCTATTTCATTCAATTCAATAACATTAAGCATTTTTTGTGATCGATCATATGTGATATCGATACCCGGAGGTATCGATACATATTTTTAACAAAATTTCCATATGTTTTGATAGGGTATCGATACCATTTTTTTCACATACCCTGTATTTTTTAGCTACCCCAGGTCCGAAACAGCTCAAGGGTAAAAGGTACGAAACTTGTCGGTTTTTCCTTGAACGTTGTCCGCTGCAATAGACGCGTATTTTGTTACACGTTTTTCAATCATATCTTCGTAGTGGTGTTTTAGCTTTGCCAGTGAAAGATGCCTTGTACGGTCTTAATTTTTTTTAGTTGTATTTGGATCTGGGGACCTCATCTGTTTCATGTATTATTATAATTACTACAATTATCATTATTATACTTATTATAATTTAATCGTCTGATTGAAATTTCACCATATTTTCTTATTTTCTTACACTTTTTTATATTATAGAAAATGCTAATTCTGTGTTGTGGTTTATATAAATATATAAATATTATATTCTATATTTTTTAACAAGTCTTGGCTATGGTCTAAAAGTAATAAAGTGAGTATGTTCTACCTCGGCTTTATTGTTTTTATTTATGCTATGTCGTTGCTTCTTTTGGTTCTTGTCTTTCTGTTTCGGTGCTATGAACTTGGTGTTTTTTTCAGAAAAAATAATTTATTCAAATAATTTTTACGAACCTGGAAAGTCCAAGGTGCAGAAGAGTTCGTTTTTGACGTTTTCAAATCAAACGCAAAAACAAATTTGTGAAGAGATTTATAAAAATTGTCTCTAAACCATTGGAACTTGGCAAAAATAATTCTATAAACCATCGGAACTTGGCAAATTTCTCTCTAATGTGGCCTTCAATAGTCCTAAATGCCTTAGCAAAACGCTAACCAAACATCAAATAACACAAAACTATTTAAAATGACAAAAAACAGCCGTCCTAATACCAACAGAACTAATACTTACCTCGCAGTGACCTATGGCCATCCACCCTTTAAAAAACAACAAACAATTCTATACACGATAGCCGCACTATTCTTTCTATTCCTGCTGTCTTCGTCATCAGTTTCTGCGTCTTAATATTTGTTTCAAATAACAAATGTCACTCACGATTATTTGGATGCCAGGCCATCAATCGATATTTTAGATCAAGTAAATAATTGGAAATGTCTGTTGTACCTTGGCTGTGCAACAAGCAAGCATCCCACGCGTAAAGCCGATGGCTCACCTAACACAAAGTTGGTCTGTTGTCTTGTTTTAATTGGCTTCTTGTGTGAGGTAACTACACTATTTTATCAGCTGAGTACTGATTTCTGCTGAGTACCAACAAAAGTATTTTATGAGCTGAGTACTGGTATCTGCTGAGTATCAATGAAAGTTTCATGAGCTGAGTACTGGTTTCTGCTGAGTGTCAGGTATTTTCGCTAAGTACCACTCACCATGAGCAAACAATGTCGATGTAAAACTGACTTATCAACGACTTTATATTGTACCGTTGTAAACTTGACAGTTTCAACCAAATGCTACCGTAACAAAAGTTAAAAAAATCTTAAAGTTTGTCATAAAGCTTAAAGTAGATTTAATGTGTGTGCAAAAAATTGCTATACTATTTAAACATAAACAGGTAAAATTTAGAAATACACAGGTAGTTTGTATACCTCGATTTGGATTTCAAATAATTATGGCTCATAACTGATGGCTCATATAAAAAAAAACACGACGTTTTCCTTAAGATTCTCTTCCCAAGCACCGAACAACAAAAAATCTGTACACTAATCTTAGAGTGTTGTTATTTTTAGATGGTCATGTGACTGTCAGCTACCTTTTTAACCAAACACGTGACTTCCGTAATTTTGGATTACCGGGTAGACAACTCCGAACCAGAAATGGCAGAAGACGCGGTCTACCACCCACTCTAGGCTGGGGGGGGGGGGGATTTCAGGCTACCACCCACTCTAGGCGGAGGGATTTCAGGTCTACCACCCACTCTAGGCGGAGGGATTTCAAAGAACTATTCCAAGCCCTGATTGGCCAGTTCTGACACGCTCCGCGCCATCGAAATTAGATTGTCTCCGCAACCCGAACAAAACTTCAAGGCTGTCGTCTCAAGCGATCGATAATCCGGGGGCTGCTTGCAGAAATAGTTCAAAGAAAACCTACGGTAATCTTAGCCTCCTCTGGGCCTGCTAAATCTGGGCAAGGAAGGGTATTGTTACACTTGGCACTAAATCTGGGCAAGGAAGGGTATTGTTACACTTGGCACTAAATCTGGGCAAGGAAGAGTATTGTTACACTTGTCACTAAATCTTGGCAAGGAAGAGTATTGTTACACTTGGCACTAAATCTGGGAAAGGAAGGGTATTGTTACACTTGGCACTAAATCTGGGAAAGGAAGGGTATTGTTACACTTGGCACTAAATCTGGGAAAGGAAGGGTATTGTTACACTTGGCACTAAATCTGGGAAAGGAAGGGTATTGTTACACTTGGCACTAAATCTGGGAAAGGAAGGGTATTGTTACACTTTACACTAAATCTGGGCAAGGAAGGGTATTGTTACGCTTCACACTAAATCTTGACATGGGAGGGAACTGTTTCTGTTTCTCACACTGTATCTGGAAATGTTTTTTTTTAGTCCAAATGTCAGGGTAAACTTTTAGATGTTGGAAAAAAAAGAACGGAGAACGCCGTTCATGTTCCATAATCGACAGTCAAGCGAAACATTGGAACACACATTTGATGACTAGAAATGTGTGGGTTGTGTTGATTTATTCACTAGCTTCCTTAGCAACTGATAGATTTTTAGATTTACGGTTCCTTGGTGTAACGCTGGTCCTAAATGACAGAGTTCTTGTTGGACGTCATTTGTGACAGTCAGTCATGTTGGACGGCTATTGTGACAGTCTGTCATGTCGGACTGATACGCTATCACTTACCACCGTGGATACAACAGACGGTTCTGTTGTACGGCACATACATGTATTTGCCACACATTGTTGTGTCTGACATACATGTTGCATGTATGACAGTCTGTCATGACAAGTGACACACAACATGACACAGAAAGCAGATTCAATCTCCCAGCTCTGGAAAAGAAAGTGGTCCTATTTATACACGATGACGCCACGAATCACCCGGGTAAAAATATCCCCAGCCATTCAATTACCCCTGGGTGGGGATGGCTACAGAACTTGATCACACTCCAGCATAGTTTCCCCGCTTCAACACAGCAGCTTTCTAATGGAATTATCATACACTTGTTACGCAAGGTCATACCGCCCACATCGTCAAGGCCAACTCGTTCGGTGGAGATCTTCTGTGGAAGAAGGAAGAAAAAGTGTTGAAACATCGATAGGGGGATAACTCTCATCAGACTTCCGGTTCTGTTTGGTTTTTTCTTCAAATAGACGCGAATAATGAAATTCTAAAGCCTTGACAGACGCCCACTTTTCGATTGCAATTTTTTTCTTTCTAAATCTTTACATTTCATTCAGAGTATTTCGAAATACCCCGAGTATCGATTACAATCGTAGGGTGGGGTGTGTATCGATTACAACACAACCACTTGATGGTCTGTTGGTCCAGCTGGGTGATCGTCTGCTCATCTTTTGTTCGACACACGAAATGTCTTCATGTCTTCTCTCTTCACACACGTGCTAGATACACAAGCCAGCAATCTACACACGTGGGGACACACGTGGACACACCCCCACTAGCCCTGACACGCATTACGCAAGACCCCCCCCCCCACCCCCACAGACACACACTGACACATACACACACGCCTTTATACTCACAACTAAATCTTACACATCAAATCGCCAATGCAGAAATAAATTTTCCCTAATGTTCACCACAAGCGACGATCGATATACTTCATGTCAGGTGTGTAAATCATTCACGTGATAACTCACACCTAGCCACACCCCCTCCCTGTAACACAGATCACATCTAGCCGTCCCCACCATCCAACCCCAGTAACATAAATCACACCTAGCCCCCCCCCCCTCCTTGTGACATAAAGCACACCTAGCCGCACCCACTCTCCCTGTATCCCTGTAGAGGCGATAACAAAACGTACTCACGCTAATGAAACACCTCCCCTCCCATAACAAAACATACTCACGCTAATGAAACACCTCCCCCTCCCCCCGTAACAAAACGTACTCACGCTAATAAAACACCTGCAACCCCCCCCCCCCCGAAACAAAACGTACTCACGCTAATGAAACACCCCCCCCCCCCCCCGAAACAAAACGTACTCACGCTAATAAAACACCTGCCAGCCCCCCCCCCCCCCCCGAAACAAAACGTACTCACGCTAATGAAACACCTCCCCCCCCCCCCGAAACAAAACGTACTCACGCTAATAAAACACCTGCCACCCCACCCCCCCCCCCCCGAAGAAAACGTACTCACGCTAATGAAACACCTGCCCCCCCCCCCCACCACCCCTTGCCACCCCCCCCCCCCCCCCCCCGCCTTCAAGCTGTGCTCACCCTAATAACCCGGGAATTTGATCGAGAACTTCGGACACGCTAATTACCAAAACACGAGGAAACTGGGACTGGCTTTTAAAAACACTTGAAAACTAAAAGTGTACGGATTCCTCAAGAGCCGCGCTATATTTTGGGTAGGGATGTAGGGGGTGGGGGGTGTCAGTTTTCCAATAACAGCAGCGGACGTGAGTTATTGATTTCTGTGGGGGTGGTCGTTTGAAGGAGATCGCCAATGGGGAAATAATGCTTTTTGTGAAGGTCATCGGGTATAGAGGGGGGGGGGGTGTTTGTTGTTGAATTTACGCTAAGGAAAAATCAAGAGCGATGGTTGTAATAAAATAATTTAATGAATGGCTGGCATTGGAATGTCAGCTCTCCAGAGGACAGCAGTTTCTTGGGGAGATAATGACAGTCATTGTGTTCGGCTGAGCAGCTCCTCCTATGTAGGGTAAAGTAGGTCGCCACACACACGCACGTCTAGAAACACACGCACGCACACGCAAGCTAATCAACACACATCCGTATAAGAAAAAAGAAACATGTTACATGAATAATGAGAGAAAAATAATACAGGTGTATGTTTTTGGAAATATGCACTTTTCAGTGACATGATTACACAGCCGGCAGCTTAGCCGCATAAATAAATAACTTTCACAATATCAAGCTTTTAACTGCACTTAATTTTTTTTTTTTAATTAATAAATAAACACACGTGTTTTATAAGCTTTCTTAACCCTACTAATCCTCAGTCCTGTAGTGGTTAAATCCATTTAATTTTTAACCTAATTTTACCCAGACTTTTTTTTTAAAACTTCAGCACTGGCTCTTATCTTAAATACAATAATTTGTTTCTAATAATATTTTTTTTTAGTTTTTTTTAAAACTACTTAATTGCTAAGGGCAGATAACCTACTTATCTAGATCAAAGGGAAGGGTGAAGACGGAAGGTGGACGAAGGTATTAATTGTTTGTTATTTTATCTGGGAGTATTAAATACGTGAAAATATAACAGAAATGGTGGGTATTGAACTAAGGCATGTCGTTATATTTTATAATTTAATAAAATCTA